AAGACGATATAGCATTAAGTTCATTATTGTCGCCCCGAATGTCTCGAGTGTCAAATAAGTCGATATGTAATCCATAGTACCAATTACCTTGAGAGAATGATACTTAATGACACCATTGTCTACTGAACAACTTGTTCAAGACATTTCTGCGTTGCCTTTAGATATATTTAACAATATATTTGTCTCGATAATTAGCCTCGAGCCCTAATAAAGAATGGATAATGAGATACTTGTAGTGATTTCTATACGGGGCATTCAGCCTTCAACATTCAATTCCTGATAACTGGAGCAACTTCAGCCACTTTAGTGTCAAGAGAGTTAGTTTGCTTGGACAAGTTGCTCATTTCATTAAGATGGATAGTGTTGTAAAAATTGTGGCGGCATTCCATTTCAATTAGTTGGTTTCTGAATGTTCTTCCGGAAAACATTAATTAAAAATTCAATAGTGTTCAACAACTCTGTTATGGCACACTTTTGGTGGCAAACAATTGTTTGTTTGTTTTCAAGAATTTGAAGCCAATAAAAATCTTTTCAGGCTTTCGTGACAATATATTTCATTCGATAGCTCCTCAAATGGTAGGTCCTTAATGTATGGAAGAGTCTACAGTCTATTGCGGGGCTCAGGTAATTGGCTCAGTGTTTAAGGGGGCGGTGGGTAGCCTAGTGGTTACAGCGTTCGCTCGTCACGCCGAAGACCCTTGTTCGATTCCCCACGTGGGTATAATGTGTGAAGCCCATTTCTGGTGTTCCCTGCCGTGATATTGCTGGAATATTGCTAAAAGCGGCGTAAAATTAAATTCACTCACTCAACTGTTGAATATTATTTTGTTGGAATGATGGGTCAGTAGGATGAGCACAAATTTTCAGACTGTATTTTGCCGTTTGTTGTGAAATGTAAAAGTACAGTACCAATATCATTGTATTTTTGTTACTTGTTTGTCGGTTAACCTCGCACTTGGTAATATGACGGCGCCTGTACATAATCGGGTCTGCACTAGATAGTCAAGTGATTGACAACATGTTTTCGATCTACGCTGCTGGCATGCGTCAAACAAGTCAACGAGCCTGACCACCCGATCCCGTTATTAGGCGATAGTTCTACAGATATGCAGTCTCTTTACGACAATGTATTCGACGTTCGGTGTAGATGCCGACACCGTTATCATGCATGTAGTGTTAGCATTTACACCGAAACGTCACACATATATAAAATATAATCTGCATATCCATACATTTATCGCCCTTAACTTCTTTGAGTTGCATTTAGAAATTGGTGTGATGAACAAAGGGGAAAATTCTATGGATATACAAATTCCCTCAAAATAAGCGACATTTCGGTGTTGCTACTAAGTGTTATGACTTGCTTGATAACGGCGTTAGGTCTACACAGACCGCTGAAATATTGATGTATGCGGCGTTAAACAACAAATAAACCAGTCTAAATGGCACTCAAGGAAATGATGAAAACCAATTACAGTTCTAACAACTTAACGCTGCCATAAACAGTTGGGGTCTTCTCGTTTACCCACCACCTATTGTTCTAGGTGGACAAATCACTGAAGCGGAATAATCCGCTAGACAATAGATGTCTCTTAAATTTTGCTCCCCGTGAAATAAGATCCCCCCATAACTGTGATTCCCATAAGGGGTGACAATTATCCATTTATTCGCTTGTTCAATGCTGTACAAACAACATGTTTCGACACGTTACATATTCTCTGCTACCGTTCCAAATAGACATATTCTCTCAGATGATACAACATCAATCAAAATGGACATTCTCGCAGATAATACAACATTACTGTCATTCAAACTTTACATCTTATATGTATGATAGCCACTGTCGGTCATCATCACTACTTGACAATAATTACACAATTCAATACCCAGTTAAATGGGAAACTGCGTCACAATATGCATAAACATTCATGTTGCCAGCCAAAAACTGCTGTTTAAGATTACACAATCGTGCATCGTGTTCACTAAATTTGTTTCAAAAATCAGCATCTACAAAATATCAATAACCTCAGTTCATGAACGGTGAACACCGTTCACCTGGATGAGACTAATTAGTGTCACCCACCAGGACCAAATTTCACGGTGAGCAGTGTAATCACTAACCCGTGTACACTAATCCTCTTTAATCCCTTATCATAACTTTAGGGTGGTGGGTAAGTGAGAATGACCCCAACAGTTTTGTTATTGAGTTGTCACGGTGCCGTTGTACAAAACAGCCTGAGCGCTAAAACTACCTCACGTCTATGTAAAGGTACGGGAGTTACGGTCACTTTAGCGCTAAGATCGCTTTGTACAACGGCACCCAGGTCTGAATCGAACGACGAGGTATGAAAGGCCGTCAAAAGATTGTTTTTATCCCCGAACATCGAGGAACATTCATCAGGGATTATGACTGATGTGATTCACTCTTCGCGAAATTCTTGGTTGTTAAGGAGGGTGTAATGACTATGTACACACGTCTTCAGTTCGTAAGCTGTACACAAATACACGTTTTGTTTTGTTTACACGTCACTGTCTCCTGGTTCGAGTACTGATGTGTGGTGTCATACGTTTAATGCAAATGTATTAATTCTGGTGCTATCTGTAGGGTACGAATGAGTAAGTGAGTGAGTGAGTTTCACGCCACTTTCAGCAATGTTGCAGCAATATCAATACACCCGAAATGGGCTTCACACATTGTCCCGGCACCCATGTGGGGAATCGAACCCGGGTCTTCGGCGTGAGGAGCGAACGCTTTAATCACTAGGCTACCCCGCCGCCCCAATGTACGAATGCTTATCAGTTTCGCGGACACCGGTGTCATCAGTGAGTTTCAGTGATCCTTTCATAATTTCTCCCTGCTAACGATTGGTGAAATCTGTTTCACTAGAGGATGAAAACTGGTAAACAATCGAGTCTGATATCGACATAGGATCATCGTAATATTTTTTAAAAAGGAAATTCAACCAGTCTACATGAAAACACTATACGTCACACTGGATCCTGCTCCAACCAAGGGGCGCTATAATGCGCATTGTAGCATCTTAGCCGTTAAGGCCGCCGATGCCCCGTGAACGTACACGTAGGTTTGGTAAACACGTAATGTTAGAAATATTTGTTTGCTTCAAAATCTATTCAACAATACAACACAGAAATAACTGTCACAGTACTGACCAACACACTGGTGTATGTACTTGTCGACGTTGATATTGACGACGATGTCGATGTAGAAAATGCTTATGGCGACGTCAATGATGTCTCCAACAAAGTAATAATTCTCACTTTAAAGCGCGTTTTATTTATGTTTTGAGGCAACCTAAACTGCTGAGGAAAATATGGTATACGCTTGACAACTGGATTTGACCAAACTGCTACAAGCCGGAATAATATGCTACTCCGCTGAAAACAGTCACGGAAACACTACACCCGTCGGGTCAAAAGCATTATAATACCCGTATCAAATACAGAACACCCTGGTTATAATGCCAAAATGGATATAATGCCATTTGCCAATGGTTTTTGGAACAAAAGTAATTTTCCACTGGTTATAATACCAATTGCACTGGCTGCCTGTAGTATTCATACCTTAATTGCTTAATTGACATGACTAAAAAATGATTGACCAAACTCAGTAATGCTTTAACTAGCCTTGTCATCCCAGATAGGATAACTTATGTGACAATACACTTCCTGCCAACTACAGCAAGTCACCTGCACCCTAGATGCTGGGACGCCCAGTCATTCAAGATTCATTACAGGAGACATCAACTCAATCACCTTGTTGATTGTACAGGCCCGCTGACTGTCCTACCTGGTTATAATGCCACCATGGATGTAATACCATATTTTCTCCTGGACAACCGGTGGCTTTATAACCAGGGTATACTGTGCATCACCACCGAATAACATTTCATAGCCACTGCCTAATATTGGAGCATCATTTATTTTGCCCGAGAATTTGCTTGTACCAGTTCATACTGGAGGTGTAGAGCAGGAGATCATTATGATCATTTCTATGAGGTTATGCCAATATGTGTGCATCCTTTCTTATCAAATCTATGAATTTGTTGTTGATCTCTTACTGTTAGAACCCGTGAAGATCCGGGTTAGAAATGGTCTTCCGTAACCAATGCTTGTTGTAAGAGGAGACTAACGGGATGAGATGGTCAGACTCGGGATGAGATGGTCAGACTCACTGTCTTGGTTGACATATGACATCGATGCTCATGCTGTTGATCACCGGATTGTCTTGTCCAGAGATACCATGCCGCAGTGAAGCATGAATACCCCACTCAGACACATTATACTGACTCTTTTGGTATGACGCGGTCGGGGATCGAACCCGCGACCTTCCGCTCTCCGGGCGGACGCTCTAACCACTACATCACGGAGGCGGTCCTGAGTGTGGTGTTGACCAACATACAAAGTGCTGCAAATGTGCTGGGTCAGCGATAAACAGCAACCAAACGAAACAGTACAAGTACTAACGAAATACAATTAATAATGATTCCTTGTACCTGTGCATAGTGAATAGTCTATTCTTGTTCCATGGTCCTTTTACACACAACAATATCTTAACATTGTTGACAATCCATTGTACTCCTTGCCCTAAAACTCTCAGGTGAGCGGGTCACTAGTGTAGATATTGCGAAATATAGAAAACGTGTTGCCGGTCGAGGTTCCCGCTCAACGACATTCTGGCTTCACCAAGTTGCTGTTGACGTTTGAGGAATCCATTGAGTCATTAGCAACAACACATACATCTCGCCCTTTTCAAATGATGGTCAAAAGGCTTATTTGAACTTATGCATTTACCTTTCATTATTAAGGAATTTGGTTTTGATGCCTCCCAAAGATGCTGAACTTGAAAATACTGGAACCACCCTGGTAAGCTTGTTGGCATCATGGGGTTAAAAACATGGGCATGAGGATCATTTTGTCGTCAGTCATACACTCTTATCTCTACAGTCATCCTCACGTGGTTGTTTATCAGTTCTGTTTCACGTTTGGGAGGGGCTTGTGGTCAGATAAAAGCGGGGCATTACGAATTCTCGCTCATTTCTGAGACGTATCGCTGACATAAACATGGAACGTTCAACGATGTAAGTATTTTACATTTGTCTGCGTGTCATGATGCCATTTCTTATATTTACCTGACAATTCATTTGTATTATTGCAAAACATGGAACGTTTTAATTGTTGTGTCTTTCTGACATCAGTCTGACTACATTGCCATTAATAACACCGTTATCAAGTGTTTGCCCTTACACCGAAACGTCTCATATATTGTGATAGAATATGTGTATCCATACACATTGCCCTTGACTTCTTTGAGTCACAGTGGCATTTAGAAGTTGTTGTGATGAACGACGGGGACAGTTCTATGGATATACAACTTCTTTGTCATTGATGTATGCGACGTTTTGGTGAAAGTGAGAGAGTTTAGCTTTACGCCGCACTCAGCAATATTCCAGCTAAATGGCGGCGGTATGTAAATAATAGAGTCTGGACCAGACAATCCAGTGATCAACAGCATGAACATAGATCTAGGTAGTTGGGATACGATGTCGGTGTGCGTTTTCTGCAGTATTGTACATCATTTGCTTGATAAAGGTGTTTGCTTCTACACCGACACATTGATAATAAAGAAGTTGTATATTCGTAGAACATTCCCCGTTGTTCAACACTCATGCTGGATGGTGGTTGAAGCTGACGGGCATTCTGATAAAGATGTCAATGCTGTGATTTCTTTTTGGTTTGGTTGTTGTCTAACGCAGTACTATATGGTGGCCGTCTGTAAGTAATCGAGTTAGGACACGACAATCCAGTGATCAACAGCAAGGGCATCGATCTACGCAATTAAGATACGATGACATGTGTCAACCAAGTCAGCGAGCCTAACCACCCGATCCCGTTAGTCGCCTCTTACGACAAGCATGGGTTGCTGAAGATGAATTCTAAAGCGGATCGTCGAGGACTTTTCGGAAAGGAAAGGAAATGGACTTATGATCAAGCCCAGAGGAAGTGTCGACAATGTTGTCGTCCTTGAATAATGTACTGTTCATGACCTGGAGAGATTTATCTGGGTATCTGTTTCAGATTACTTGCCTGTTTCATCATCGGTGTTTCACACGGATACCGACATTACCAAGACGACCTACCCAACGGCGACGCTGTGCCTCATCCCTGCAAGACCAACTTCTTATGGCGGGGGGTGGGACACAAGAATCCCCAGGGTGGGGGAGACAGAAATCCATTTGGTCTCGATTTCCAGCAGGTGAAACAGGTAAAGTGATTTTTCGTTGTGTGTAACATCCCGATAACTCGAAGTCATGTGAACCATTGATATGTCGATATATATATATATATATATATATATATAGCGCTGTGAGCACCCACTTAGTGGTTGGATTTAAATTTCCATTATTATTATTATTATTATTATTATTATTATTATTATCCCTACAAACGGAGACTTCAATGCTAGTAATCACTCTGTCTGGGTCAACGTTCACACAGGGGAAAAGGAAATATTTGTTTGATGTTTAGTTGCTAAGGTTTGCCAGTGGGTGGGTGTTTTAAAACTGGGTGGCTGGGTAAATGAGAAAATTGAGTAAATATGTAACCGCGTGAGTGAAAGTATGGGTGTGTGTATTTGTGAGATTGTGATAGTTAGAATGTATTTTTGTTATTTGATTCATATTTGCTACAAAAAATAAACATGAGAGATTGATGAACAAATCTCAATATACTTGTCAGTTAAAATAGGCAGGGAAGTGTGCAGTCAGAATACATAACTTACTTTACATCTTAAAATGGCACGAAACCTTATGAGAGTATTGGCGTCAACGCGTGGTTCGGAGATACTGTATGGCCATTGATTCTGACTTGTGTGTTTGGTGCAAATGCAGCCGCAAAGTACTTGAGTGAGTGAATTTACTTTTACGCCGCAATCAGCAATATTCCAGCGATATGGCAGCGGTCTGTAAATAATCGAGTCTGGACCAGACAATCCAGTGATTAACAGCATGAACATCAATCTTGGGCGCTGAAGACCAATTCACGAGTCATCAGCTTCCGGATGCGATAATTGAAGTATAATATTGCTATAATTGCACGATGACATGTAGTGTCGTTAGGTTTACCTGTTTGTAATGCATGTGAATGGCCAGTCAAGTCCTGGCTGAGACAGTCCAGTGATTGATATCATGAGCATGGAACTACGCAATTGGGATACAATGACATGTGTCAACCAGGTCAGCAAAACTGACCACCGATCAGCTTAGTCGCCTCTTACGACAAGCATGTGCTACGGAAGACCTACTTTAACCCGGATCTTCACGTGTAATATTTATTTATTTATTTATTTATTTATTTATTTATTTATTTATTTATTTATTTATTTATTTATTTATTTATTTATTTATTTATTTATTTATTTATTTATTTATTTATTTATTTATTTATTTATTTATTTTAAAAACTATCTGTATTGTATTAAAGTGGACAAAGGAGCTGTGCCAGAAAGACTCTGATGGGGATGGGATGACCAATGGTCAGGAGTTAGGAGATCCAGACTGTGTGTGGCATCCAGGCAATTTCCCCTCGAGGATCAAGAACATCACCCACCCAGGTATAGTCACCTACTACGTCTCACTCTGTCGTGTTTCGTAACAACCATGCCATTGTTTGAGTGCATTGTTGTTCTACTTCCAGTCACTTCAGCCATTAGAGAAGGGATTTGTTGGACGTGCTTCGTTATATATCTGACGATTTGATTCATCCTTACTTCTCAGCTGTATGGTAGTTTATCCTAGCATGTGTCGTTCAACTACTAGTGAGTGAGGGAGTGAGTTTAGTTTTACGCCGCACTCCGCAATATCCCAGCTATCTGGCGGCGGTCTGTAAATAATCAAGTCTGGACCAGACAATCCAGTGATCAACAGCATGAGCAACGATCTGCGCAATTGGGAATTGATGACATGTGTCAACCAAGTCAGCGAAACTGACCACCCGATCCCGTTAGTCGCCTCTTACGACAAGCATAGTCGCCTTTTATGGCAAGCACATGGGTTGCTGAAGACCTATTCTATCCCGGATCTGCACGGGCCTCAACTACTAGTACTTCCAATATACTCCACAACATTTTAAGCCGCAGTGAATGCACATTTGTAACTGCTGACATCCTACAGCGAACTACTTCAACTGCACCAAATAAATACTTCAGTGGCACTAACTTACCTCCTGCGATAGTTGACCGCAGCTTTCCAAAAAACACCGACACGTGCTTGTCAAATACAAGTACATTACAGGCAGATAATGATGCACCTTACCGATGTTTTGTTAAGAGTAAGCAGCAATGCCTCTTCAATTAAGCCAATTCTACATGTATAACCATCCTTCCAATGGTACATAACGTTCTATGACCTTGTGTCTGCAACCAGAATAATCCATGATCGGGTTGTATTGGACTCGTGCTCTATCACCACAGTAATTACTATTGGTGCTTTCCACTCATATCAAGCTAGGGTGAAGTATCGTTCAAGGTGCTGTCATCACCCCTTCTCATTTAGTGAAATAGTAATTACATGCTTATGACTTTGTACCTAATTATCAGCATCCGGCTTTACCTATCACTTCAGGTATTTGTGACCCCTGGGGAAGTCCTCAGTGCACGGCCAAGAACGACTGGGTGTCTTGTACAGCCGGCGAGTTTATATGCAACGCCACAAAAGAACCTGGTAAGTTTAATCTAAATCAGATATATATTGACCCTCACCTTGACCATTGATGAAGAAGGACCGGTGGCCCTTTTGGCCCCATGTCACTGAATTGCTGCAGACATTTTCAGGAATCGTCTAATGGATGACCACTGACCATCCTTCTGTCTTAATCATGCGACGGCATGATAAATTTATAGGTCATAAGTAAAAAGAGTGAAAATAGATGGGTGTTTTTTAAAGGAGTGAGTGAGTTTAGTTTTTACGCCGCACTCAGCAATATTCCAGCTGCATGGCGGCGGTCTGTAAATGATAGAGTCTGGACCAGACAATCCAGTGATCAACAGCATGAACATTGATCTATGCAATTGGGATATGATGACATGTATCAACCAAGTCATCGAGCTTGACCACCCGATCTCGTTTCTTGCGACAAGCACAGATTACTGAAGATCAATTCTAACCCGGATCTTCACGGATTTTTGGAACGGAAAGGAAATGGACTAGAGGAAGTGTCCACAAACGTTGTAGTCCTTGAAAAATGTACGCGAGTTCCAAAGTGATGTAACAGTACGTCTGTTTTCCAGATGTGAAGAGCTTCACTCTGAGATATCCTCCCACGAGGGTGCCTCCGACGGAGACCAACTACTACTGCATGCCCTTCGACGTCAGCGACTACATCGACATGTCAAAGGACTACCACATGATTGCAACTAAGCCAGAAATCAACAACTCCAACGTCATGCACCACATCGTCCTCTACGGATGCAGCGACGACGGTAAATTTCGGTTTCCGTTCACATCTTAGCGTATATGTCTGTTCACATTATCTTAGTCCCTCCAAATCGTAGCATACAGACAGAAGCAAACGCAAGTAAAATTGTGCGTCTATTAAATGGAACCGCAATCACATGGTCTCGCTGTTCGAAATCTAGCAAACATACATTCATCGATTTCTTAAACCAACGATAACCAGAAACAGCACGGACAGTTGCTTATATTTTTTTATCTTGACAGCTCCGATGTCTGACCACGCCACGCCGTGTTATATGTCCCAGAAAGGATGCTCCGAGGTTCTTGGTCTGTGGACCCTTGGTCTTGATGGAACATGCGAATATAAAGATGCTGGATATCGCATAGGTCGCACTGGCTCAAAGAAGATGGTCATGCAGGTAAATAGTCCTTGTCAAAACTGTACACAAACACAATAGATTTGAGCTTAATACTGTTTCGTAATCTTCACAATGCGAATCGTGGACTTTCCCAAAAATAACAGTTCAGATGATCCAGGTGAAGACCTTCAAATTGTAGCTATAAAACATTTTGTTCCAGTTCCATTGGACCAACCCCGAGTTGAGGAGTGACTATGTTGACAGTTCTGGTCTCACCTTATATTACACTCCGAAACTAAGAAAGTACGATGCCGGGTTCCTGTTTACTGGCCAAGTATATCTGGAGATTCCCCCAGGTGTCAAGCGGTCGACCTTTGAGTCCACCTGCACAGAAGAGTGCACCAACAAACTGATGACGGGGAATATCTACATTACATCGGGTCTCAGTCATATGCATTATCTAGGTAAGGTAACGTGAGACATCTGTCTCCGTCCAGTCATATGCATTATCTTGGTAAGGTAACGTGAGACATCTGTCTCCGTCCAGTCATATGCATTATCTGGGTAAGGTAACGTGAGACATCTGTCTCCGTCCAGTCATATGCATTATCTGGGTAAGGTAACGTGAGACATCTGTCTCCGTCCAGTCATATGCATTATCTGGGTAAGGTAACGTGAGACATCTGTCTCCGTCCAGTCATATGCATTATCTGGGTAAGGTAACGTGAGACATCTCTCCACTCAGTCATATGCATTATCTGGGTAAGGTAACGTGAGACATCTGTCTCCGTATCTGTACGTGAGACATCTCTCTGTCCAGTCATATGCATTATCTGGGTAAAGGTAACCGCTCCAGTCATATCCATTATCTGGGTAAGGTGACGTGAGACATTTATCTCCACTGAGTCATATACATGACCTAGGTAAGGTAACTTGGGACATCTGTCTCCGACCAGTCATATGCATTATCTAGGTAAGGTAACGTGAGACATCTCTTTCCACTCAGTCATATATATACCATCTTTGTAAAACTACTTGAGTGGTCTGTGTCATCTCAGTCTTATGCATTTTCTGGATAAGATTACTTGAGACGCATGTCTGCTCCCAGTCATATTCATTTTCAAGGTACATGTAGGATTACTGCAATGCTCGAGGAATGTGACGACGGCCAGTTATTAATCTGGACCAGAAAACCCAGTGATTGGCAACATGACCATTGGTCAATTGAATACGATGACTCGTCAGCAATCCTGACCGAACGATCCCGTTAGTTGCCACCTAGGACATGCTATCCTGAAGACGAATTCTTGATTCTCACGGGTCATTACTAATGTGAATCGATTTAGGAAATAGGTATAATGGATCATGCCTAAAATGGATTCATTTTCCCTTAAACATATTTCTTCCAGGGTTCAACGAGCAGGTTGAGTTGTTCCGTAATGGCCAGAGCATGAGGAAAGTTATCGATGATCCCACTTACTCCTATGACAACCCTCAGCTGAAAGTGTACGTATTAAGGTTGAGAAAATCACGCTTTTCATATGTAGGAGGCACGACATACTAAGACGTCTAGGTAACAGTGAGGTATCTTATTTATCCGTATAAAGATCCGTTGACCTGGGGTTCGAAACCCGATTGGTACGGAGTATAATTCGTTCTTGAACAGTCTGTAGATCTGAGGTGACTCAATTCGTGCAGAGTTGTGTCCCATGGTACGTAAAGAAAACCTCGTATCGCGAATTTAAGTGAGTGAGTTTTACGCCGCTCTCAGCAATATTCCAGCTATATGGTGGCGGTCTGTAAACAATCGAGACAATCCAGTGATCAACAGCATGAGCATCGACCTGCGCAATTGGGATACCATGACATGTGTCAGCGAGCCTGACTACCTGATTCCGATAGTTGGCTCTTACGACAAGCATTGGTTGTTGAAGACACACAATATACACATTTAGGACTAACTAATGTTCAGGGTTCTGTTTCGTTGAGTTCACCACTCACGAGTGATGTGAAATATCATATTCATGTCTTTCAGATACATTTGGCATTTTTGCTCAAAGTTACGTTTCCGATATTTATCGACAATCGATCGATATTTAGTTAACGGTTATCGATCTGTATGATGTATATCGATAGCCAGCCCTAATATGGGTTTTTGATTTGTGTACCATTACAGAATGGACGCATAAAAACACGCTTGATAAACGAGGATGGTATAACATGATCTCACAGGTAATTCTCGTCAGGCTGTGGGGAGTTGGGGTTAGGGATACGGGTCCATTAGTTACGACGTAAATTGTAATAACGCGGTAAAATGTAATAAACTGCGGCAAATTGTAATACCTCTGCGGTAAATTTTAATACAGCGGTAAATTTTAATACAAAACGGGGTAAATTGTAATAACTGCACCGCAGTAAATTGTAATAAAAACTGCGGTAAATTGTAATAACCACTGCGGTAAATTGTAATAAAATACATTTTACTGCCTATTATGAAAGGAAACATTCATGATGTTAAAATGTGAGACGAAGCTTTATAAAAATCACAACCCGGACAACCCTGAGTCCTTCGTATTTCCAAGTTTATATTTCTAATCAGTGCTTGAAGACAACAGACATCTATGTTCTCTTTAAATTCCATTCAAACGGAATGAGTATTTACGAATTATAGCCAAGTCCGAGTTTGTGGATGTGAACGTCTACGAGTGGGGTGATTAACCTTGCTTTACCCCGAGTCTGAGAGGGTCTTCTTGTCAGGCTGTGGGGTAACGGATATAGGTGCATTACTTTGAGACCGTTTATAATTCCAATCTGCGCTTAAAGAAAACAATGTTCTCTTCAAATGATGAACCAAACATTAGTTCAGTCGGTTACTTCATTGCTTTTCAGAAGTTTGGGACGGTCCATTAAAATATTTAATCTGTGGGTTCAAAAAAGGCAATCCTTTAAGGGACAGCATCCATGAACTCATCCTCAGCTAAAGCATTACAATGTCACGTTCCAGGTACTCCAACCCCATTGAGATGAGGCAGGGTGACAGTTTGAAGACCACGTGCGTGTACAGATCTGTGTCCAAAACCCGCACAACCATGTACGGAGAAGGATCCTACGATGAGATGTGTTACGGCCTCTTCTCCTACTTCCCCAAACAAAACATGAGCGGAAGTTGCACAACATGGAAGAACTTCGACCTCTGTCAATTCGAAAACGAGGACCACATAATCAACGGCTGTGACATTCCCATGTTCGAGAACCTGACAAGTCCTGAAATGCGTGCCATCGTGAATGAGGTTAGCAACCAAAATGATGAGATGAACCTAACCATTTAAAATGCATCTACAATGATACCTGCTGTATACTGGTCTTCAGTATATGTACACAGATATCACACTAAACACTCATTGTGGCCACTCTGTAGTTGTGAACCGTGAAGATCTGGGTTAGAATTGGTTTTCAGCAACCCATGTCTGTCGTAAGAGGCGATGATCTGGTGGTCTGGCTTGGTTGACACATGCCATCGTATGCCAGTTGCTCATGTCCTTGATCACTGGATTGTCTAGACCGCCTCCGTGGTGTAGTGGTTAGAGCGTCCTCCCGGAGAGCGGAAGGTCGCGGGTTCGATCCCCGACCGCGTCATACCAAAAGACGTTAAAATATGGTACTTGTTGGTCCCTGCCTGGCGCTCGGCATTAATAGGTACAAGGACTGGTCGGCTCGGAGTCAGTATAATGTGTCTGAGTGGGGTATTCATGTTTCACTGCGGCATGGTATCTCAGTGGGCTAGCACTATAAAACCAGCTTAAGTCTGGGCTAGTACCAGCAGCCGCACATACACACACACACGCATGCACGTCGTCATATGAGCGAAATATTCTCAAGCACGACGTAAAACCCAATTTCACCTCAACTCACTGGATTGTCTGGTCCAGACTCGATTATTTGCAGACCGCCGCCATATAGATGGGATATTGCTAAGTTGTGGACGAACAAATTTGGCCCATGGGCGAGAATGTTTACTTTAGCTCAAAACTCATGTTTTATAGGTTCTATAAATGAAAGTATGTTTGTAAGTATCATGGCACAAAATCTGAATTCGGCTAAATTAGGGCGTTATTCAAATAGTTCGTCCGTGGGCGAGCATATTTTCATTTGCTCAAAGATGATGTTTCTTTATATTTAAAATATGTAATGAACAAATACAAGTATCATGACACATAATTCAACTTACCTTAACTTCATTCAACCAATCTGCAGTAATAATATGTTAATAAGTGCGATTAAAATGGGCCGACAGAGACAGGCCACAGTGCGGAAAGATTCTGGACTTTTGAATTAAACTGTTACGTGTTACAGTTTTTTCTACACATGTGTTTGGTTTCAGGTGATGGACAGTTGCAACCACTACGGCTCCTGCAGACCGGAATGTCCAGCTGTTCTTGACCGACTCAACAAACATCCTTGTCTGCAAGGTGAACTCGGGGAGCTCCTCCTTTACGGCTTCGCTGGAGGACACGATTCCGAGAAGATTAAGTTTGCGCATGCGCTGAGGTCATGTGACAAGGCGGAAGAACCAGTGTATGGCTATTTTCCTATATCAGCTGCCTCTGCAGCGTCTTCCGTCGTCTCTGGCATAGTCGTAGCAGTCATAACTGCTTTAGGTCTATAGGTCCGCCGGGCGGAAAGATAGGAATTTGATTAAATGCCTCCTAACTTTGACATATTTCTGTTACTCGTAGTGATGAATTATTTACATTGCATATTGAATAAAGGCTGATTTTTTAAATACTTGGCACAATTCGGAAGTGTGTACAGTAAAATCTTTAAAACACTGACTGGAACATGAACTGCAAGTTGACCAGTTTTGGGGGCTGGCTAAAATGATCGATAATCGGAAATACCGTCGATAGAAAAACATAGTAATGATTATGGATATGAACATTGTGTTATCGATAATATCGTACAATAACTTTTCTTAGAAAAGAAAAATCAATTTGCTCACACAATATACAAATGATGTTCAGGACGCTGTTTTGTTAATAATCCATGCTAAAACATGTCACCACTCACCAATGATATGAAATATATTCATTTCTTTCAGACATTTTAGGCATTTTTGCTCAAAGTTACGTTTCCAATATGTATCGATAATGGAACTATATTTAGTTAACGATTATCGATCTCTATGATCTTTATCGATAGCCAGCCCTAGTTCATTGTAACATGTAAATGAACTGTCCATCAGTTAGCACTGTGGTGAGTGCGGCGTAAAACAAGACACAAACGAAACGAACACCTGTGAACGTTTACCCAAGGTACTGGAAAACCAGGAATCATGATTCGGGATAACCAATCGGCCGTTCTGGTATGATAAAACCCGTGAAGAGAATTGGTCTTCAGTAACCCATGCTTGTCGAAAGACGCGACTAACGGGATCGGGTGGTCATAACTCGCTGGCTAGGCTGACACATGTCATCGTATCCCAATGGCGTAGATCGATGCTCATGCTGTTGATCACTGGATTGTTAGTTCCAGACTCGATTATTTACAGACCGCCGCCATATAGCTGGAATATTTCTGAGTGCGGCACATTAACGCATTGTGTTCACATGGTCAATTAACACGTACAGATCCGGGTTAGAATTGGCCTTCAGTAACGTATGCTTGTCGTAAGAGGCGACTAACGGGATCGAGTGGTCAGGCTCGCTGACTTTGTTCAAACATCTCATAACATCCCATTTGCCAAGATTGATGGCATGATGTTAATCACAGGATTGTCTTATCCAGACTCGATTGTTTACAGACTCATATAGTGGGACTATTGATGAATGCGGCGATAAAAAACAAACTAGCAAACAAACAAATCATGTTATGATAAGACAGTACAATTCACACATATAAACATCATTCATAATGGCGGTAAATTCATTGCTAAAAGTAATAAACCGCTGTCTGACACGATTCCCCTATCCCGTTAGTCGCCTCTGAACTGCTGAAGACCGTTTCTACCCGGTCTTCAAGGTTTATTTATATACCATAGTTACGCTGTAGGGTTAGGTTGGTTATGACAACGCTTTCTCTCTTTACACAGAATAATCGGATTCAGTTCTTTACATTAGTACAAGGGCGGTGGGGTAGACAAGACAAGACAAGAATTGTATTGTATTCAAGGCCTCCGGCCCACATACAGTTTACAGAGTTATACACAAGTCAATTGTAACTAATTTTTTTCATCTCTGATATTTGTTCATTGCAAGAACATAATAGTGATTTAAAAGCTACATCGGGGGTGGTGTGTGTGTGTGTGTGTGTGTGTGTGTGTGTGTGCGTGCGTGCGTGCGTGCGTGCGTGCGTGTGTGTGTGTGTGTGTGTGTGACAGATAATACTCTGGTATATATTTCTGTCTAATCTCAGCATACGATTTAGAGATTAAAGTGAAGTGAATTTCGATTTCTACAGCTTCTTTGCATAATGGACAGATTCTTTGATTCCTTCTCCATGGACATTTTTCTTCCTTCATTTACCATCAAATTTAAAGCAAACCTAGTCTAAATTTTTTTTAAATTATACCTTAAGTCGTTGCATTTATAGTGCGTTTAGCTCAAAAGCGGACCTATGAATTGCAATCTTACTCGAAAACTACTAAACATATAATACTCAAAGAAACGCTGATCATAATCAAAACATCAGACCAACTCTGTGATTTAGGGACAGCCGGGTGTGCGAGAAAGGATGGAGATGGCACAGCATAGGTTAATGAATCTTTAACTTTGTCGGCACTTGTGCACGTGCTTCTCTAACATCTGTCTGTCCCTCACTCTGCACTCCTCCCTCGTGCAAAGTAGTGAACTGTGTCAATATTTTAATGATAGTTTGTTGAACAACTTTTTTTACTTTTAGGACATAAATTCTGCACACAAATCACAGAGTTGGTCTGATGTTTTGATTATGATCAGCGTTTCATTGAGTGTAATCCCACCACTGTGTCTGAGAGTAAAATCACATCATCTGCGAAGAGAAGCATTAAAATGTGCAAGTAATCGTAGCGATCGTAGTTGTTTCCAAAAGTTTGAAGGAGATTTTGAAGATTTACAAAGATTATCTAGTCGTACTTTAGCGAGATCAGATTTTTATTTTCTACAACAAGTCCTCTGTGTACAATAAATTGCGCGGTGATAATCAGTGTTCTTAGTTCTAAACTGCACGATTTGTACTACTGTAGCGCTTGGTCTTTGGCAATATGGCGGACTCCAGGCACATTTGACGTCACGAGAGGAAAGGTCACGTGGGTTCCAGCGAAATATGCATAATGGCCGAAGCTGAGATTTACAGAAACTGTTTTCGCGATTAAAACATAATTATACATAATATTTAATTGAAAATTTGGGAATATGTTTCTGATGACTTTGTCTTTCACCCAGTAAATTATTGCAATTCACTCGTATTCTCCTTTAAGGCTCTGCGCGCTGCTCGTTTTGCATTTGTGCATGCTGGATTAGTTAGTTCTATTTAATTAAAATCTATTTTCATACAATCCGCGGAGTCTATTATAATATACTATCCAAAAAAAGAAACGCATTGGCATTTTGTATTTATACAAATCTATTATTTACCTTTTGTGTTCAAACAATCGTCAAAATATGTAGCAAAAGTGTTCATAACATGATTTTACACAATTGTGCAAGTCAAAAATCGATTTTACCTGAAAATGTTGATTTTGATGACATTTCTTACAAGAATTAAAAAGGCATCGCCACAACGCAACAGAAATCACCTTGAAGTTGAAATTGTGCAGCAAAGAGCATACACTGTCTGGCTATAAAATTCCAGATTACTTTCGGAAATCGACATTCGTTTTGAAGAAGTTTCAAGGTCAAATCACTACGCCACGTCTTGGTGATGTGACACGGAACATCGCCAGTGAAAGAATGCACGCAGAAATTATCAATCTGTTGTTGCCAGGCGTCTGAATGTTAGTCTTAGCACGATATTACGGCTTGCAGCTCGTTACAACCAAACAGGTATTATAATAACAAATGACCGTCCCTGTACAGGCAGACCCCCATTCACCACTGTCGCCAAAGTTCGGTACATTCGGGTACTACATTTACGTGATCATACCGCCACAGGTGAGAGCACAATAGCAAGTGTGCCTAGACTTCGGAGGATATCCGGTCAAACTGTACGGAACAGGTTGAGAGAGATTGGACTGAGAGCCAGGAGACCCGACGTCGGGACCGTGCTACGTCGTCGCCATGGCGCTCAAGGTCTCCGTTAACCGAAATTTTCCACTTGGTTGTATATACATGACCTTCTTCTCAACTGATGTAAACATTTATGCACTAAAGTCTATTTGTGGACATGTCTCCTACATTGAACTTATCAATGTGCTTGAAGAAATTTGGTGAACAAATGAAGTAATCATTTACACTTGTGCCTTGATGACCACAGTAGGTAAATTACCCTTCGCTATCCCAATTGACTCTCCCATTTACAATAAACAGGCCAAACGCGCAGCAAAAATCAATCAGGTACTGTCCAAACTTATTTATAACTTTATCCTGAAGAAATTTTTTTACGATCATTATCTATGGTATCGTCTTCCTCTGGCCAAGGTAAATGATTATTATCATTTTCATCATCATTTTCTTGAACTTTAAATTTGGGTTATTCATTTCTCCCGTTCTAGAATTCATGTCGCCACAAATTATAGTGTGAGAGTCCAGAATAATTGATGAATTGTCTGAATTGTCTAAGATACACTTAGTACTGGAACCACCGTAGAAAGAAGAGCCAAATGGTGGAATATAGGTACATAACAAATTCACATGACTATCCAACTTAAACAAAATTGTCTTGACAGTTGTAGCATAATAAGTTATCGTGTGTGGATGAAATCAGTTTACAGAATTTACTGTGAGACTGGTGAAAACACACACACACACCACCACATAGACGACCGTAGTCGGATACTTTAATGGCAGGACTGTAAAAATTGTCATAGTTTACTAACCAATACACACGATACACACGACAAATGTTTCAACAAGACATATATTACCTTATATAGACGAAGGTATTGAGTGAAGTTAAGTCACTGATTTTACTCAACAGTCCGTTGACATTCACGCATAAGAAAGAAAAAGATTGTTCCTCCACACTGTTCACATGTACTTTAGTTTCGGCGGTGCTAACTTCGGCTGTTCCCCGTAGTAAAGTATCCGGGCTTCGGCCAGTGTCCTAACTGGACGTTTCACGTTCACGTCTCTCGCGTCTAATGCTTGCCACGGTTCGCTTTCTTGCTGTTCCACGTTGCACAGGTGCGTCATTCTCCGTGCGTTACTCGGTTGCCAGTTGGCCGTTCTTGAAGAATCCGTACTTTCCGGTTCCTTTCAGATCCTGCAGTTGTCGGCGTTGCCACGTAGTTAGGTCGCTCGAGATCCCATAACCAGCTTCTTTGAGATCGTTACGAGCTTTTAGCGCTCTGACCTTGTCATCCGAGACCTGCAGCTTGGCGATCACAGGGCGTGGTTTTGAGGCGTTAACGCGTCGCGCGCCTAGACGGTCGGCAAGTATGACGTCTGTTGACTGCCAGGTCTTAAACGGGTAGCCTAGTGGTTAAAGCGTTCGCTCGCCACGCTCGAGACCCGGGTTCGATTCCCAACATGGGTACAATATGTGAAGCCCATTTCTGGTGTCCCCGGCTGTGATATTGCTGGAATATTGCTAAAAGCGGCGTAAAACCCGACTCACTCACTCACCTTGGTACAACTTTTTAAGACGTTTTC